AAGGAAAAAAGAAGGCAACACATAGACATTATGCCATGCTACCATGCATTCTAATTATCAATATTCAACGTCCGTGTTTAGCGTGCATTGATGTGCATGGTAATATACCTTATCTCTCGCTTTGTGAAAAATGAGATTATGCAATAGTACATCAAGTTCAATCTCTTTGGTATGCCTCTCATCCAAAAGATTCAATGTTTCTTCAAAATTATCATCTTTGGAACAAAATTTGAAAAAAAATAGACAATCGGATTGTGGATTAGCGAGAAGTCAATTATAAGCTAGCACTTGGTAACATTATCCTCTCAAAAAAGCAAAAATGAAAAATCAAACAAATAAAAAAATTCAACAATGCTAACACAAAACTTCCATAACAAACAAACAAAGATAACCAATAACACAAGCATTAGTAAATACTAAGTATAATCTCTCACCTTTTCACGCTTCCGTTTTAATGATTTAATAGCAAATATTATATGATACTACTTAGATAGAAGGTCCAATGCAACTAAAAAAATAATAGAATGAGAGCTCAATTTACTAAATCGAAAAAGGATGACTTACATAATTAAATCAATAAAGTCTAGGGACCTTATTAATCAATTGGTAAACTCTTCGAGCATATAACTTATTAGACCCACTCACTTTTGTATTCGATGTCAACGCGCGTATTGCACCTCCCTTATGTGGAATTCTTCTAAAATTTTATATGTCTACCTCATATTAACAATATGTTGTCAACACTTTTTATTGACAATATGTTGTCAATCAATGTTTTCCTCAAAGCTTATTAGAGTAGTTATAGGATATTTCGAAGTCATTATTTGCTTTTCTTATTTTATTTTGAATGGTGTGTTGGAGTTAAAATATTTCATATTTCATTCTTATTTCTAACAAATTGAAAATACAAACAATAACTAAAGTTCTCTTAAAGAGAGTTATAAAAAGCTTTAAAAAGCTCAAGTATTCGAGACTCGGCTTTTCGTCTTCGAAAAGGATTTTCTTTTTTCTCTTCCAAAAAGCAATCTTCTTAGCTAATCATTCGCAAACTCAAAACTAGCAATGCTTACATGGCCATATTATGAAAACTATGATACACATATATAGAGAACACGTTATGGCAAGTTATAGGATCAAACTGGATTTTCTCTCAATGCATTTGCTCAATGATAAGCTCAATAACATCGATCCTTCCTTAGATGTTTAAAAAAAACAATACTTCGTTGCTTGGAAAAAAGATTATGTGGGGAAAAAACAAGGCAACACATGGACATCATGCCATGTCACTCGTACATTTTACTTGTCAATATTTAATGTCTACATTTGGTGTGCATTAGTGTACATGATAATATATCTTATCTCTTGCTTTGCGAAGGGTGAGATTATCCAATAGTATATCAAGTTCAATCTCTTTTATATGCCCTTGATCCAAAAGATTCAATGCTACTTCAAAATTGTCATCTTGCAACAAAATCTAAAAGAAGTTAAGATAACGATCACATTATGGATTAGTGAGAAGTTAGTTATAAGCTAGCACTTGGCAACACTATCGTCTCAAAAAGCAAAAAAAAAAATAATAAATAAAAAAAGTCAATAGTGCCAACATAACTTTCATAACAAATAAATGAAAATAACCAATAGCACATGCATTAGTAAATATTAAGTATAATCTCTCACCTTTTCGTGCTTCCATTTTAATGGTTTAATGGCAAAAATTATCCCATCTTGCTAGATATAGGATCCAATGTGATCCAAAAATTACTAGAATAAGAACTCAATTCAAAATACTAGAAAAAGGATGACTTACGTAATTAAATCAATAAAGTCTAAGAACCTTATTCATCGGTTGATAAACTTTCGACCATATCACTTATCATACCCACTCACCTTTTTATTGGATGTTAATGCGTGTATTGCACCTCCCTTTTATGGAATTCTTCTTTAATTTTATGTCTACCACGTCATGCTATCAACATTGTTTATTGACAATATATTGTCAATCAATGTTTTCCACGAAGCTTATTAGAGCAATCATAGGATATTTCGATGTTGCTATTTGTCTTTCTTATTTTATTTTGAATGTTGTCTTGGAGTTAAAATATTTGATATTTCATTGATATTTCTAACAAATTGAAAATAAGAAGAATAACTAAATTCCTTTTATTTACAAAGGAGAGTTCTAAAGAGATTGAACACGAAAATGAATACTTAAATGTTGGGCAAATAATTTTGATGACAACAGATTTGCTAGCAAACTCAACGTAGTTTTATTTATTTGAAAAAGAGCGAGAGATAAGGGGGTGAGTTATGAAAAAGTGTTCCTTTTTTTTTTTTTTTCTCTGTCTCTTGTCTTTGAGAAGCTTATCGACAACGTAGTAATAAAGAAAAAAATCGGCATTCTAATATATATTTGTAGGAAATCATGGGTTTTATTTTTCTTAAATAACAAAAAAAAATGGCATTCTAATTATTATTGTTGTTTTTTTGTAATCGTCTTGAATTGCGAGCCATTCTAATGTTCTACAACCTAATAAGTTAAACACTTACAAATTTCTATGCCAAAAATTACTTCAAATTTTTTATGTTGCGGACGCTTAAATATCAACAAGTGCTCGCCAACGGTTATTAAAATGATCTGCGACGGGTATTTTTCCGAAAATTTAAACGAAAGTTTTTTTTTTTAATCAACATTCATTTTTCTTTTATTTATTTATTTTTTTTTTGGTTTTTCAGTCATAATAATGTCTATATTTTTCAAGCCATTTTTCTCAAAATTCTATCTAATGAATTCATAAAGAATATTTTTCATTAGCTCGGGAATTCATCGAATAGCTATTGATTTTTCAACAACCATGATCGCTCCCTTGCGTGCATTATCTTAGACCAATGATCAAGACAAGATTATCCCCCAAAGAAAAATGAAAAATAGCTTCGAGATATTTTGGATTTATTAACAACATTATTGATTTCAACTACACAAAACTACAAAAGCACATTAGGAGGGGAAAAAAAAAAAAACTCTTCTAAATCTCAAAATGACTTTTTTACGAAAATGGACCCGTGCATGTTTTACATGATAACTCTAAAATGTAACATATTGCCTAGTTATTGGTGAACCACAAAGCTTAATTTCTCAATACTGCATAAGAAAAAAACGTTGGAGGAAAAACAAAACAAAATTTTATATGCAAAAATCAACCAATGTCCCTACTATATATATTTTTTATTATTATTTGAAACTGACCATTAATCATCTACTTTTAGTGCCTATGAATTGATTTTAAAAAAGAAATTTCAAAACTTTTATACTTTTGAAATCGAAGAAACGGACCTACACAAAAGTGACGTTAAAAATAAGATTTTCATCTTGAATTTTTTCAATAAAAATCCAAGACTCTTCGGATATTAATTTGTTTTACTTTCATTTTCTATCTATTTGAGCCTAATTGACTATTAGTTACATTATCTTGGTGAAAAGGAATGGAAACCAAGCAAGTATGGAGCAAAAGTGATGAATTTTGAGTGACTAGTGAATTATATAGGCAAAGACACACCCGTGTAGGAGGCCGTGTAAATCTACGACTCGGAGAAACAAACAAAATTCTACATTACACGGGCAAAGACACACCCCATGTAGGAAGTTGTGTAACTCGTCGACTCGGAGAAACAAACAAACTTACGCATTACATGGGTAAAGACACACCCGTGTAGGAGGTCGTGTAATTGTCGACTCGGAGAAACAAACAAACTTCGCATTACACTAGCAAAGTGTAGGAGGCCATGTAAGTCTTGGTCGAAAGTTTGCTAAAGAAAAACCATAAAATTTGATTTTTCTTTCCTTCCTACTCCATTTTATTCAAGTCCATACAAATCCTAAATTCGCACACCAAGTTTCAATCAACCAAGTTCCATTAGCCATACCCCTCCATCCATAGATCTAAATAGATATAACTTCTAAAACTTTAACAAATAACCACACAACTAACCATCATGATCAAACCATAGCAATTACCAATCATGGAACAATCTAACCAACGCAATCAAGCCAACAAAACACATGACAACATAAGCACAAGCTTAACCAACTACAATAACATCAATGAAATGGCATGAAGAACTAAAGAAACCCACTTACATAGATAGAGTTGATTAGGATTTTTCCTTAGCTTTTCCCCTTTTCTTTCCTTTCTTTCCTTTTTTTTTTTTCTCTCTTTCCTTGCCATGACTTTCTCTCCTTTTTCTGACAATTGGTTTTTCTCTCTTCCTTTTGGGTGCTATGGTTTTGGCGTAAACAAAAAATGACTAAGTTCAACCTTTCCCACACCTTTATGCTCATTTTTTTCTCTTCTTCATTGATGTATCATGTGTCAAAATTTCACTAAGCAAAGTGTAAAGTGAAAGGAGCTTGGAAGGTAAGGTGGTGGATTGGGGGGCTTAAAAAGTCAAAGGGATGAGTTGTCTTTTACTTCCATTACTGCATGATCCACTCTTCGTGGTTAATTTTTCCTGTTATATAAGAATTACAATTTAGTAATTAATCCATTTTTTTATCTATATTAATCCCTCTGTCGCAGGTTGAGAAACCTTTAAAAACTGATATAATGTATGCTTGTTGAGTGACTTTAAGCCACACACTGTCTATTATTTATCTAAATTATCTCCTTGATTTCTACACTTTCGTGTTTATTGAAAGGGACAACATTAGGAAATTGCAGAGAGTGCAGGTACCAAATATATCATCATGACCGGACAAAATTGAAAATATCACGAAATAGACTGCCATGCCCTGGATTTTGTGTTGCCCTAGACCCTTCGAGATGAAAGGCCAAGATGAAACATAGCTCGAAATCCAACGGCGTATAAGCCTCGTTCAGCCCTTTATATTTTCTCAACGAGCCACCTCATTGACTCCTCTGTTTCTCTTGCTTTTTAGGGTTTCTGGTCCAGCGTTTCGTACTCCTGCAAAAGAAAGAAAGAAAGAATCCGCTTCAAATTTCAAAATGGTGAGTCCATGAGAAATAGTTTCGTTTTCACTAACTGATCTGATTCGTTCTTTAACTGATCTGTTTTTGGAACCTTGTTAATGGAAGCCTCTCCTAAACGATATCGATTTGCTTAACCCACCAGCAGAGCTTGAGAAGAGGAAGCACAAGCTCAAGCGGCTTGTTCAGGCCCCAAACTCTTATTTCATGGTAATTAAAAACATCATGCATTTAGCTTTTGTTTTCTTTTTCTTCTGATTCTGTTTTTCATTTATGATCTTGTAAAAACTTTCAGGATGTGAAATGCCAGGGTTGCTTCAATATGTGAGTGCTGTCGTGACTTTTGTTTATATTTTTTGATGAATTTTTCGTATTAACAAGGTTTAGGCCCTTAGCTGTTTGACTTGAACAAAGAAAGCAGTTGGTTTTTAATTTGAGTGAATATATTGTGTGCAGAACCACTGTTTTTAGTCATTCGCAAACTGTGGTGGTGTGTGGGAACTGCCAGACTGTGTTGTGCCAACCGGCAGGGGGTCGTGCCAAGCTTACAGAGGGGTGCTCTTTCAGGAAGAAGAGCGAGTGAAGATTACGATAATTTATTGTCTCCTTAAATCTTCTTTCCTGTTTGGTAAATTGTTCAAGAGTTCTTTCCTAGGCAGGATGATGATGAATGGAACGACTGTATTTTGATTTTGATGTTTAATTTCTTAGGTTATCTGTCACTATACATGTGAGATTTTGCATTTGATTCAGTGAGAAATGTTTTGAATTTCAATTTAAGTTCATTGTTACTTAGGTTTTGAATGTTGTTACTACCCTTGATTGTAGTTTATGCCTCTTTTGTGACTAGGGGAATCTATTAGGGTTTTACACTACGCTACATTATGCATATTTCAAGCTTTTGTCTGCTAGTTTGTGGAAATTAGTTGATGGTACAGTAGTGAACCTTGATATTTTATTTGCCTTCACTATGCTAGTATTATTAGTTAAGCAGTTAGTTTTTTGGGCAATCTGTTTTGATGAGAGCAATTGAGTCCTTGGCATTCTTGCTTGCTAATTCCATAAATTTTGGATATTTAATTTGTAGTGATAGTCAAAGCACTTAGACTCATAATCTATATCCCATTCTCTGTTCTAGCTGTTAGAAACTGTCTTGGCTTTTTTCAAGTTTGCACGCCACTGGATGACAACTTCTGCGTTTTGAATGGATTTTTAATTTGGAGTTTCCTGACTGAAGGGTAATTCATGTGTTCTTGTATTTGTGTTTTGCTTTGATATGGAGCTTGTATTTACTTGAGATTACTAGGTGTTTGGGTGTTACTCTGGTTGGTAATTTAGGTGATCAGTAGTTAGATATAGTCTTAATGATTTTTGTCTGGATGTTATCACATTAATTAGGTAACCAAGGCATCACATTGTAAAGTAAGCTGCTGGGATTTTTGCCGACATCTGTTATCTGATTTTGGTACAATTTTCCATAGTAAGGGGCATAGGCCCCTTTGCCCCTTGGATGGGATTTGTAGCATGTATATTTGTGTTTACTATGAAACATTTGCAATGAAAACAATCTTACATGAATCTCCCCAACTATTCCCGAATTTAAGTTAGCTTTTTCAGGTCATGGGTTCGTGTTTTTCATCTTTTGGTAGGAAGTATTAGGGCTTCTCCTTACTTGACATTTATTTGTCATATCCATGTACACGTATGACCATATTTTGCATCATACGGTTAAATTGTCCAGACTCAGGTAAAAAATACAAAATTATTGGTCCCTGGAAATTTAAGAAGCAATTCTTTTGACCGTAACTTTTGTTTCAAATGTTGACTAGGATCCGACTTGTCTTTATTATTCCCCTTGAAACTTCCCCACCTGCTCGACCCAAATATAACCCTCTCTTTACCGTTTACCTTCCTGTCTAAATTCTCGGGCTACTAAATGAACTTCACTTTCCACGAGAGAGAAGGAACAAACGCAGTTTTTACAAAAGGCATGTTGCTAACTTCGACCTCTTTAACAACCTTGCCGTCAATTCCAAGTGCTATCTATCTTGGGCTTGGATTGTGTGATACTAGAACGTCTAGGCTTGCCTGGTGCTTCCTCCTACTTGAATGGAATTGAAGCTAATGTATGGAATGGTGATGTTAAAGTCCTTGCTGGTGGCTAGCGTTGCACCTTGCAAGTGAAAACATGGAGAGTTTTGCTGTACGACTTGGATCATAACCTACCTCAGGCCCCATCAGTACTTGTTTCTTTATGTAACAAAAAATGTGCAAAAGTAAATTTCTCTTAAAAAATTAAACAAGCTCAGATCATGTTTTTATTGATGGAAAAATGGGTTCTTTTTTAGGGTTGGAAAAAGAAAGATAAATGGGGGAGCAAGGGTTCACGGTATTTTGCGGAACTTCATAGTTTTGTTTATACATCAAAATGCATGTTGTGTGGTAATGACAACTGCGTTTCTGATTTTCAATTTTTTTTCCAATTCTTTTTCCTGTTAGAATCACTCTAGTTTTTAGCTGCAGTAATAATTTCGCCTGGTTCAAGAAATTGTAATTTCAGTAATTATTCTGAATGTTATTGCTTCCATGTTTTTGTAACTAATTTGCTCATGTTGTCATGGTGCCATACGATTGGTCTCGTAGCCATGGTTTTTAACGGCAGTTGGCATGTTATGGATTTCTTTTACGGCGTTCCATCTTGTTTTTATACGGTTGGTATTTTGTAGCTATCGTTCGGGCTAAAATGCAAGTCTAGCATTATTAATTAAATTTTGTATGTGAATAATTATTACTAGTGTTTTAACCAGTTTGTCTGCTATATATGAATGGAATTTCTCATATTTAAACCATTGGTGTACGGTATAGCCGAAATTCTATTTGTGGAACTCACATCTACAACCACTAATATAAAAAAGGCACGTAATAAAGTCCCTATAGCCTAGAACAAAAATTTCGAAGAGTTCGTTCATAAGCTGTATGGATAGAAAGAAGTGCAAAAGGTCAGCACGTAAGGTCAACGGATCCCTTGGCTTCCACCTGACATAAATATTTTGATCCACGTGTCTATTTGGAGTCCTTAAGATAACGGTTGAAAGCTGATCTAGTACTCTGACTCCTGACGAAGCTGCGGCACGCCATTTATAAGGTCAAATTATTACATTTACAAGCTGTAGCACTTTCTCTGTTCTTTTACTGTTCCCCCCTCTTTTTCTTTCTTTTTTTTCCTTTTTTTTTTCTTTTCTTTTCTTTGCTTCTCTTGCTGTGTTTTTCATACCACTCTTTTAGCTTTTATTTTTATCTTAGTCCTTCATTTGTAATTTTTTTTTGTTTTGATTATTAATATTTTATTATATTTGATTTTCATCCCTATAATAAATAAGATATACTAAATGAAAACCGGAAGCATTTTCCCTGTTCATTTATTGTTCCCCCTCCCCTCTTTTTCTTTCTTTTTTTCCTTTTCTTTTCTTTGTTTCTCTTGCTGTGTTTTTCAAATCCCTCTTTTGGCTTTTATTTTTATCTTAGTCCTTGATTTGTAATTTTTTTTGTTTTGATCATTAACATTTGATTATATTTGATTTGCGCCCCTATAATAAATATAAAATTTTTATTATATTTGATTTGTGCCCCTAAAATAAATATTAAAATTTTATTATATTTGATTTTTATCCTTATAATAAATATTTTTTTCTTGGTTTTTAGTAAAAATTTATGTCCTTTTTTGGTTCTTATTTTGTGATATGTTTTTATTTTAATCATTAAAGTTTTATCATGTTTTTGCTTTTAGTGAAACTTTTCTTTCTATTATAATTCCTATTTTGTGATTTTTTTCTTTGTTTTGGCCATTGAATTTAGTAGAATTTTATTTTTATTTTAGTTCCTATTTTGTAATTATTTTTTATTTTGATTATTAAATTTTTATTATCTTTGATTTTTTTTCCTATGAGGAACTATTTTTTACTTTTAGTAAATCTTTTTATTATGTTTTGGTTTTTATTTTGTGATCTTTCTTTTATTTTGATTATTAAATTTTTATTATATTTGATTATTATTCTTTCTACACTAAAATTAAATACGAGTTTCACTATTCTAAGTTTTTTTTTTTTAGCTTTTAGCAAAAACATATTTTCCGTTTTAGTTCTTATTTTATGATTTTTTTTTTTTGGTTATTAAAATTCTATTATGTTTTACTTTTGTTCCTGCCTTATGTATAATGAATTTTTTTTAGTCTTATTGTTTATAAGTTTTTTTTCTTTTAGAGAATTTTTTATTTATTTTGATCCTTCTTTTATGATCTTTACTTTGTTTTTATCATTTAATTTTTAATATGTGTAATTTTATCTTCTTTTTTTTGCTAAATTCTCGATTTGATAAAGCTTTTTTGTCTTTTTATCTCGGATGGCCCCTCTATCTCATTAACAAATTACGGATGAAGAATATATGGTAAAAATTAATCATATAAAATTCATAAAACTACCGCATCATTAATTTAATTATTAGTTATTATACATATTTCTAATAAAATACATGTTTATATCAAGTAATATCTAATTAGCAATATTATATTGCTCGACTTTACGAGACTTTTCATTTAACTAACCTTGCGAGCAAAATATGAGATATATGTTTTAGTTTTTTTTCTTGTGATCCTTTTAAATAATTATTTTTAAATTTTTTATTTATATGAATGAACACATAAAAATGTTGTATAGCTCACCCCACGACAACGCACGAGATATATGCTAGTTATTACTATACAACTAAAACGAGCGGGGTTTTGATTCACTCTTCGTTTGCTCACAAATCATTATTCGTTCCTATAGTTAGATTTTTCTTTCAAGTTTTTTTACTATACATATCTTTTTTTTCTTTTTGTTTTCTCCATCAATTTAGATTTTTGTTTAATTTTTTAAATTTTCAGATTATTTCATTTCGCTCTCTAAAATTTTAAAATAATTATGTCACTATACATAATTTTTTTCCTTCGCCTTTTTCATCAATTTAGGTTCTTTTTTTATTTTATTTTTTAAATTTTTTTTAGATTATTTCATTTTGGTCTCTAAAATTTTAAAATAAAAATTTTAATCCCTTACCGATGCACTACACGTGCCTTTTTTTTTTTTTTTTAACCTTTGCTTTTTTCTATCAATTTAAGTTCTTTTTTTAATTTAATTAGGTGTTAAAATTTTAAAAAATCAATCGTTATTTTTTTTCATACAAACTAACGATTATATAATATATACGATATTTTTTACATTTAGACGATATGCTTTTAGATTTTAGAATAAATATAAACTATTCTTATTGTTTAAAATTGATTTCTCGATAAAAGTTCTCATTAAGTTAATTTTTATTCTATTTTTCTCATAATTGTATTTACTAATAAATATGATTTATTTTCTCTATGTATGGATTCAAATAAGTTTTTTTTTATACCTTTTTTTATTTGCTTGATTCTTATATAATCAAATTTTAAAAATTGAATATATGTATTTTATTTTCTTATTTTTTATATAATCAAATTTTATCGAAATCAATTTTATAGTTTTTACTGCACTCTATTAACTTCAATGTATATTTTACAATTTAATTTTTTTAAAATATTTTTAATTTATTTTATACATTCTCATATATGATCATGATGTATAAAAAATAATAACATTAGAATTATTGATTTTATTAGAAATAAACTATGCAATACACACAATATCAATAATTTTTTATTATCTTTTTAATATTTAAAATGATTTTTTAAAATAAAATAATTAAAATAATATTTTAAAATAACCGCTTAATAATTCAAATACAATTTTATATGCTAATATTATTTATTATTTTGTAAATAAATATATATAATCAAATGTATATGTTTTAAAAAAATAATCTTCTCATTGATAAAAAAGTTTCATTTGTTAATTTTCATACAAATTTTTATATTAGTTGTTACTTTATTTCTTCGATGTCATATAATGAAAAAAATATTAAGATGTTTTTTTTTCAATTTTATATTAAAATTTATTTATTATAGTTTTTTTATTGAAGAATAAATGCATAAAAAGGAATATATTATATTTTTTTGACTTCAAAATTTATTCAAAACATAAAAAAAATATATACATAAATACAAAATTTTAATTAAAAATAATAAAATTAGATAAAATTTTATTTTTTATATTTAATTTAAAATATTTTAATTAGCCGATAACTCGGCAGCCAGCCAACCGCCATAGGCCAAAGAGTAAAGACCACTCAAGTCGTCTTCTGATTAACTAAATAAAAAAATAGTTGCACCCTTCCTTTATAAATAGCAAATCCCGCTACGTCACATTGGCTGTATATCTTTGTTCTAAAGAAAAAACTGGTGTTATGGTTGGGCCAACGCAGAAAAAGGCAATTATATATGCAAAAAACAAAAAAAATTATAATAATGTAATGTATCCAGCTTTTTTAAAAAATAATAATAATAAAATCGTGATTCAGATGCAATATAAAGAGAAAGCGTAACGTGATTTTTTCAAGAATGCGTCTTCAGCTTGCATCGGAGTCATTGATTTCTAGTAGTTTCTGGTATTATTTTCGTTCTAAGTTGGAGGCTCGTCCTCCCACTCGGTTTATCACTTAGAATATTCATAAGAGAGGCGTTTTTTAGTACTCTTACCATACACATAACCTTCCACGCGTTGCCTTCTGGATATTGACGGGTTGTCGCTTGCGTTACTTCCTTTTCTGTTTTTGGGACTCTTGACACTTTGGAGCAAATAAATAAACAAACAAACAAAGTAAAAAAATTCTTGCACTAAATGCAATAGTGATCTAATTGTTATACGAATAGAATCTGAGAAGTAATCAAAGTGAGGTGACGTCTTTTGATGCGATAGGGATTCATTCCAATCTTAGCATGCGCCGGATAGATATTATTTTAGTGATACCATATCCTTATCAATATTACATATTGGACTCTCATGAATATTATTCATACACTGCTCTATTCTCTTTGATTTTTTAATATAATTTCATCAATGAAGCTTATAAGAAAGGGTGACGTTAATCTTATATTTTTAATGAATTTTCTTCTTAGATTTATTTTAAAAAAAATCTCTAGTATTGAATGAAAATACGATGCATGTGAATTTCGTAAATTTAATGATTGAAAATTTTTTTAAAT